TTGAGTTGACCAGCTGCTCTCTGGTCGACGCGAAAACTGTCACATTTACCGGATAATCTTTTAAAACTGAGTTATACGGTTAAGTGTGTGTAACGTGGGGAAACTCAGGTGTGTACAGGTGAAATGCGATACTAAGCCAGGGCCAATCTCCAAATCCTGTCCAGGACACCTTCAGCAGGTATTAATACCTCCTCCTCCATCCATCTTTTTCCCCACACAAACTCTCTGATACATGCAGGCACTGGAACAATTACACAGAGATAGACACCGAATACTCTGTTGTACATAAATATTTCAGGTATACACAAACAGACATATACACGTAGTAATGTACTTTTGTGGGCACATTGGTGAAAAGTTTGTTTGCAGTGTGGGCATTTGATGTTCAAATTAAGTTTAGATTTCTGTTTATCTTTCTGTAATTATTGTAATTATTTACATTGTTGGACTGTTGTCTTCATCTTTATTACCATATTCAGGACGTTTCGGCTGTTATACGCTTAGGCCTTAGAACATTACTAAGAACTGTGTGTACGCCATGGTAAGGCATATAAAGGAGAAACAGCCACCCTCTTAAAGTAAGACTGCTAGAACATCGTAAATCTGTAACACGAGGGGAAATAGAAAAATCAGGCGTAGCTGTCCACATATGGGAAAAGAGAGATATCACTGCCACCACCCCCCTCGTGGGATGAGGTTGAAATAATAGACATAAAACATCACTGGAAAATACGAAAACTTAAGGAATCAGCACATATGCTAGGCTACAAAAATCTTCTAAGCCGGTCAAGCATAGAAATGAATACAATATGGAACCAGTAATATGGAGTGCTAGAGAAAAGCAATAATCATAACAAAATATTGTAATATGAGCTCTGTGAAACATGGTTACTGAGACATTAAGTTTATATGTCCCTCAAATTCATACACTGATGGCCCAGTGGATAAAAACCTTGGTTGGATCGAATGACTTGACCCAAAGAGTTCTGAGTTCAGTACTTGGCTACTGCAGTGGTGAACAAAATCTTGGAGAGTTAAGTCAAAGGCTGATAACTGAGACATTCGGAAGAGGCATGGAACGTGGAACTAGAACAATCTACCCCCAGTAGAATAAAGGGTTCAGTTAGAAATTCAAATCACCTGAAGTCAATAAAGATGAGGACAACATTCGGAACAATGTAAATAAGTTTAGATTTTCGAATTCTGTGACTTCATGAATTAATTTTAGAACTAGGATTTTAGAATATGGGCTGATACCTAAAATTAAGAAAACTCGTTATTTGAAACGGACTTGTGGTTGATTACTTTTTCAATTGAGTCAGTAGGATAGGGTTGTAACCCTATCCTACTGACTCAAGCCACTCTCTACTCTATCGCTATTTCCATAGCAAATGTTGTGACAACTTCGATCAATTTAAACCTTCACAGCTAAGACCTGCCATGCAATATAGACTTTGACGAGTCCTCTTCATTCTCTTGGTATTTCGTCAGTAAGAAAGAAGTTACATTCATACAACAAAATCTCTGCTTCGTGGAAAGGATTCCCCAGAAGATGGTTCCCCGATCATTACAATCTTAACCTCTTTAAGTCTCAGGTTAACCGATATCTTTCCTTTTAAACTGAGCTTCTTATATCCTCCTTTTATGTGCGACGACTTCAATCATTAGTCATCTGCCGTGAGTGAGGCCTTGTATTGGGTGAACAATTAGTAAAAAAATCTTTGAAACAATTGGCAGTTTACGGTCTTTATAGAGTGTCTACGTCTATGGAGACAAATCACTCATGTAGTCATTTGGGAAATAAATCCTCATTATAATTTATGCTCGACCATTACGTATTAATTCTTAGTTAATTTTCCTTGTGATGATGTTTTATCTTGTTTCACTGAATTAATCACTGAACTCACAACCATAAGATAAACTATAACACTAATGCCTGCAGCAAAAATAACTGGTTTGTCCGAACCAGAACTATTTTTGAGGTTCCAAGATTAAAGAAGAATTCACATAAATTCTATATCATATGATGATAGCAGTTAATATCTAGAGTGAAAATATCTTCATAACTAACATAATCATACTGGGAATCTCTCCCGGGACATTACCTTCTTGTTTCATTCAAAGTGAAAAGTACATGCCTGATCATTTGCGGCTACTGGTGGTGTGTTTTTAAAATGTGGTGTTTTGTTTTTTAAAAATGTGTCTATTTTCCGGGGTATGGGAAAAAAAGACAAAAACAAACATCTTTTATTCGTAAGGATTTAAATGTATTTTCCTCAGGTACAAAAGTGCTTTGCAAAATTTCTGATGAGTTTGGAGAGATTTTCGAATTTTGTGAAATCATATGACTTTCTATAGAATTAGGATTTTAGAATATGGGCTGATACCTAAATAAATAGCCTCTATTAATAAGGAAATTGAACCTTCGGCACTAGGAGGAAATATATATCATATCATAACATAATTACCGATGTATTCTAGTACCTAGTATACATAGATAAGACATACAGGTGTTGTAATGGTTATCGGTGCAGAGAGTGGAATCGGTGGATCGAGTTCAAATTCCAGCATAATCTGTTGCATTCAATTTCGCACTATGTCATTGTGAAAGGCATGAATCCATCTTTTCTCTCCCCATCGGTTAAATAGCATGGTATTCTTCTGTCTTGGGTGGCAATCGGTCCAAGAGAAAGAATTCAAAAGCGTGGAGAAGGTAACGAATAACACTGTTCCGAGAATTCATGACAATTCACAGATAATAAAGAAAAGGAATTTACGAAGATCCGGCCACAATTATGTCCTGAGAAAACATGAAATTTAAAAATACTTAGGCAAGGGTTTCTTATCTCTCTTCATCTTCTAATCTTCCACTACTTAGCCGATCTAACTTCAGTTATTTAATGTACAAATTAAACTAAATATTTCAGACTGTTGGGAAAAATGATGATTAAACACAAGATCTTTTCTATTTTTGTGTTCGCAATGTAAGTTGTATGTTGTACATTGCTAATCAGAAAGAGATATTTGTGGTTCCGAATTAAGGCGAAGATGATTGACGGCTATAGAACGATAAGATGGATGACTATTTTAATGATGACAATTATAATTTCTTGTGATTTTTCGATGAAAAATATTTTTCTTTGATTTTAATTCTAAAATGATTAATGAATAAAAACGTTTTTTTCACCTTGACAAAACCTATTCCCACTCAGTTTTACACTATGAAAAGAAATAGTATGGGTTAAAAAACAAACAAACAAAGAAAACCACGTCTATAGTTCGTTCCTAGATTATAAGCAAATTAATTTAAAATATAATAATTATAAAAATAATGGTCCCTAGAGTAATTAAATTTCAGTCAAATATTTATTTAAATTTTGTATGGAATATCAAAGAAATCTAAGATCTTGTAATATAGAATTTCATTTATCCTGTAATATAAAAAATATAGTTATATAAACTTTCTAGTTGGTATAGAACACTCTTAAAAGCATCAAATTGAAATTATATAAGGATATAAAACGAACGAGAATGATCAAACATAAATATGTAGTCAAAGAAATGACTCTCAAAGCAAATCCTAACAGATTTGATTGAATAACAGAGTTAAAAAGAAATATTTGCTGATATAATATCCATTTATTCTGACTTCAAACAGCTTACTGTCGGGAGAAGTTAAATTCTGAATTTCTTCAGTGATGAGGTATTCACAAACAGTTGATATATTTATCTTGAATTCATTCTTGGATGACAATTGTTTGCTGCCAGCATAAAAGCGCTTTCTTGCGCTTCCAATGTATTTCTGCATTCATCCGTGAATAACACAGGGAAAATTTATTTTTAGATACTTTTCGCCATAGGATGCACATTTAGTGAGATGCTTTGGCTTCAGAGAAGGGCGTACAGTGAGTTTAGTGTATGTTCTAAGTGCTTCAGGATACGCCATCCTGAGTTTTAGGTACATTTCAATCACCAATGCTGATAAATACCTCTTAGTTATGTATCTTTGTCTTTAAACGAATTTCCATTCATCAAGAGACAAGCAGCTACGATTCTACTCTTTCTTGTCACAGGTATTGCGTACAATCGAATTCAAGACATTTTTTGTTCGTAGGACTTAAAAAAGAGTTCTAAACACTTCCAGCGCTAATTTTACGTCGTTAAGCATTCAAACATTTTCTGATTTCTTAATAAAGACTAATATTAATTTAAACATTACTCAGTGTCATATTATTGCGGCCATATACCAGACTATCATAGCTTTGTGAACAATTTTCTGGAGTAGTGAGTTCGATCCTTACTGAGTATTCCATTATTGTAGCCTTCTGCCAGAGTAAGCTAAACTTAGTAAACATCTACAAATGTTGGCTTGTGACCATATGTTTTTTATTCACCCGTGACAAGAAACTGACAAGTTTTATTAACGCAAGTATTTATGCCATCTACTTTACTGTTCTACTAATATTTTTACTAAGATATTTCTATTAAGATTTCTACTTTGCTCAGTTCCCAGTTTTAGTCTGGCGAACGAATACAAGATACAATAAGATTCATATATCATGCATTCTCGTTTCTAGAATATCTCTCTGTTTATAAACAGATTGGAATAGACAGAAAGATAAAAACATATTGAGATAGATAAGCAAATAGACAGATGGAACATATGTATAAAAATATATGGTTGCAAATCTACTAATTGGTGATAATTAGGAAGATATTGAAGCATCAAAATTCCAAGCAAAATATGTAAATAACAAAATTGAAAATTTGCATTCCAAATATACTCAAAGAGCAACTGTTAGCATTTCGAAAAACATTTACTTGCCAGCAATTTGAGAATTTGTAGCAGAAGACCAATTGGTGACGTGGAGAGTATGGGATGACTGAGTTTCAAAAGTTTTCCAGATAAACTTGCGAATTCCGAGTTTTTACCTCGGCTCAAAATCCGACTACTGTTGCCAGTCGGGGAAAACGGAACATTTTTAGCCACGAGTAACGATATGCACGGGTACATATATATGTATGTATGTATGTATGTATGTATGTATGTATGTATGTATGTATGTATGTATGTATGTATGTGTATCCATAAATAGTTAAAGTATAGAACCAATATTTATACTCAACTTTCAGCATTGTACGTCTCCATCCGCCGCACTGCCTTTCTTCAAACACAAAGTCATAATACGACGTCATATACATCATTATTTAATCGCTTTCTTATACGCGGAAATATTTTAAGTGGTTTGTTTGTGTTTAAGGATTCACAAGTGGATGGCGCATCCGGTCTTCATATGTCTGTGCGTCTGCGAATAAAAATGAGTATGTTTCTACAAAAAAAAAGGAGCAATGCTATCCATGTTCGAGTTCATGTAAAAGATCAGTTTGAAATCCTTAAGCTGAAGACACTTTCCCACATCTTCATAGGATGGTAATATTTCGCATTTCATTATCTCGATAAACACAAACACAGATATTGGTCAAAGAGCACAACTCACTGAATGAAGAGATTCGATTTGAAATCCGATTTTTAACGAAATACTCTCAGTTCATGAGTTATATGCAAACTAGAAAATGCGTAGGTAAATGTATGAAGCATGAGATATCATGAATTTCCCTAAAACATAAAAGAGAGTAATTAATAATGACAACATTTTCCTTTTGACTGAGGAGCCGGAATACACCTATTTTGCAAACGGAAACTTATCCCAGCAACACTTCATATTGTAGATTTTTTTTCAAATTTGATTCCTTATTCTTAGGCATACTTTAAGTGGATGCATCATAAGTTCTCAATGGAATTGCAATGTGGATATGTTGCAAGAAAGTCCATGATTGTAATACCGTTGAGTTGAAACCATTCCTCGCTGAATGGTGAATGACTGCGTTATTCTGTTGAAATATACAATTTTTTAATAATGCTGCATAGAAATGTGATATTACTATTTTATAACATTTCTATATAATCCTGAATGTTTTGATTCCATTCCATCATCACTTATTCAACTCTTTTGATCTATACATCTGAAAAATTTCTCCATCGTAGATCATCTGTTGAATAGATGTTTAATAAACCTCCAAAATCTTGTTCTTCTTTCTGAAGATCATATAAGTAGCATTGTATTCTATCGGGATCATCTAAAATCGAACTTCCTCACTACCTTCTATTGATCCTTGGTTTTAGTCACTTTTCTTTAACCCATTCAGCGTACTTTTACTAGTGAGCATCAGTAACACTGGGAGCTTTTTTTCTAGACCCAAATATAATATTATCTGATGACTCAAGAAGTTCGGCACCTTCAACGCAGTCCACTGTTTTGATACCTTGTAAAGGAGGCGATGGTATTTTAAAAAGTTATTTCACTTTAAGCAAGGCAGTAAAGCCACTAAGACACAAGGGGATTACTGAGTGAAAAAATATGAGAAAAAAGTAACATTATTAATAAGAGAGAACAATAAAAGAACAGGAATTAAGAAAACAGAAAATATTTAGGAAGATCTTGCTAGTTGTTTCCTCGTAATATACGCTTCGAAATTCTTTAGAAATTCTTAATGGTGGTTCCATATGCATTCACTTTTGTACAATAGCACCAATACATCATAAAAAAGGGGAGTAGTTTTCATCATTTTCTTCTTTAGCATGAGTTGTTCTTCTAAGCATGTTCAAAACCCGAACAAATCACATCATGTCTGGTGCATGCAGACTTCAAATGATAACTTCTAGTATCGCTTCCGACGAAGCTACATTAATAGAAAGCGCTAGGGACTTTTGTGAAAAAATTCGAGGTGTCTTATAATTACTTCTACTATTTTATATCTATCTATCTATCTATCTATCTATCTATCTATCTATCTACTTGATAGTTTGTTTGAAGTGAAGGCCTATTTCAAATACTAATTCTCAAGAAAAAAGCATACTTTTCAATTTATAAATATTGGTGCTACTCAGTCTTACTATTCTACTACGTATTCGTGTACTAATACAATTCACAGCACAAATATGATTTATTTCACCTGGTTCATTTAGTTATTTTGTGTTTATTTCTCAAAAGCAAACTGAAATGCAAATAAACAATAAAGTATCATGTATTAAACATCATATACACTCGAATCCGAAAAGACTTCATTGCAATCTTCAAGAGAATCGTTGTATTGGCGAATCCCCACTAAACACATTATTACTGGTGATGTTCATTTCTATCTGAACAAGAGCTACGAGAAAAGCAGCTGTAGTTAGAGACTTGAGACTTAGAAAAGGAACCAGAATAAAATGAATACTTAAGCAAGCAGCAGGATAAGCAAAAAAAAAAGAAAAAAAAAGTTAATTTCTCCAGTCATGTAAAATGAAGTTTTTCTGTGATTTTCCTTCTTTTTCTAACCTTTATTTTGTATTCTTTTCCTTTATAGAAAGAACTTAAACATTCCTATAATTGCCTACATTATTGCATTTTAAAAGCATTTAAAGTGTGTTTGTCATTAAACATCATTTTAAGCGAGATTTCTTTCATTTGGATGTGATCTCTGGTTCCATAAATTCACCCTCAACATATAATAAATTTAGTAATCCTGATAATCTGTTAATACTATTAAGTCTAGAACAAGAGAAAATTTCGAGGGCATCAAATTAGCGTCAAAGGAACAGTGAGATCAGTAAGCCAAGTACTGGACAACTGATCCTATTCTTCAACATATCTCTATACATGCAGATTGGTATATGATCTATTGAATGCAATACTAGTACATAGGTCAAGTACGCCTAAAATGCGTCAGCGTTCAATATCGGATCAAAGTTGCAATGCTGGATATTAATTTTCTAGAAGGAATGAGGCTTCTGTGGGATAACAGAAATACCTGAAAATGTTTATTAATGTCTCTGATTCCAGCCAGTTTCTCAAATTTTATGCGCCAGTAAATGAAATGTTTATTGAATCGACTTTTCTATTCAGCGCAAACGGGCGTTTAATTCTGACTTTACTTCGTACAGGACTCCTATTCTACGTGGTTAACATAATGCACAGATGTCAACAATGGTTTAACAAGTGCACCGAAACATCTAGAAAAACTGTAAATAATACTAAGGTATTAGTTATGTGCGAAAATTCCCAGCGCTATTTTCTGATCACATAACAGGAAATACACATTTGGAAAAATAGTATTTGGCAGGATAATTTATATATATAATGTTTAAATAGTGCCCCATTTAGAGGAGAATAGAGCTCAATATCAGAGATTGATCATTTATAAGAATAGATTGTGTATATGGGATCAACACAGTGTAGTGATTGTCAGTTTCATGCTTCATTGCAATCTTCAGACTAAAGAACGCACTGAAGTGTAAAACACTAACAAGGCTGTGGTCATTCGTTTATTCACAATTTCTCTCTCTCTCTCTCTCTCTCTCTCTCTATATATATATATATATATATATATATATATATATATATATATATGGTAGGTGTAAAAATTTACTCATTTTTTTAAAAAAAAATGTTTACTTGTCTATTTAGACGAGTATAAATAAAAATATTCGATGTGAAATTTTGCATATATATGCTTTGAGCAATCCTATATATATATATATATATATATATGTGTGTATGTGTGAATACACACACATCTACATACAGTATATATATATATATATATATATATATATATATATATATATATATATATATATATATATTATATATATCTGTATGCACACGTATATTCAAGCCCGAATTGTGATTAAATTAATTTCGTATTTCCCATAGGTTCCAGTGGCGTTATTCGTGCTGAGTTAAAAGTTAGCATATTGGGCGATGATTTTCAAAATAATTCCGATTGGAAGTTTACGCAATAAAATCTTTCTACTCTTCTCTAATCTTCATACATACATAAAGGTCAAAGCTATTCACACACACACACACACACACACACGAATACACACAAGGAAACTAAAGTTTTGTTAGATTTGCCGAATTTCTGAAAGTGAATGAACCTTAAGAAGGCAGAACGTACGGCTAATATTCAAACGCTGGAAACAAACATTTCAATGCCGAAGACGAAGAAGATGAACTCTAAGAATTTGTCGGTAGATGGGGGTCATAAATAAAGGGTCACTCGGTCTATCTGGAAACCGTATTGTTTTGTTACAAACGATGAATTTATTCAGACAATTGAACATTCTTGACGTGTGTACCTGAATTATAATATTTGGGTAGACGCCATTAACTTTTAAAAGTGTCGATCGGCCACTAATGGAGACATGCCGGTACGTGTTTCGGTTTTAATCAGCCCAGTTTTATTAACCATGCATTATAGATACGCTACATATGTTCAGACAGTTTTCAGTAGCAAATGATTTTTCTTTGAAAAAGGTCGCCTATTTTGTTCAGCGGTTAAATACATTGCCAACTTAGGACTTTTTCGCCAATATATTTAAATATGACAGTTATACAAATATATGCATATATATGACGAATTAATAAGTTTAATCAAATTTCGTACAGGACCAACACTTATGAGTTGAGAAACAAATTTAAAACTGTGTTTGGAATGATAAGCAAACTATAGATTTACTTCCTGTCGTTATGATTTTGTGCACTAACAGGATATTAACACACACACATACAAACATATATGGATAGATAGATTGTGAGGGGGGTGAAAAAGAAGAGAGACATAAATGTCTATTTAACATTGCTGTACGTTTGAACCCAAGTAAAAACTATTTCGAATGCTGGTTTTCAAGGCAGACAATGAGACGGTCTTCATACTTGAAAGACTGAAGCAGTATAATGTTTCTATCTCTATTTACTCTTTTTGGACATGTTCCATTGAGATGTGGTCATTTACTAGATTAAAACAAAATCACTGATTGAGTTATAGAGACGACGAATATACTGATCAAGAAAATTGAATTAATTCGAAACAGTTTTATATAATAAAAGTCATGTTTATTTACCTAATACATAACTTAAGTCAAGGGGAAAAGAAAAAAAGAAATGTCAGACTTAACTTGACCATTCGAATGAATAAAGTAAGGAATGAGAAAGGTTGAAAAAAATTCGGTTCACAAACACAATTTCTGTCTAACCGTGACAGCTGCTCTAACCGATTGAGCTATGAGAGATTGTCAAATGTTAATTTGACAGGTGAAATCTAACCGGATGTGATTTCTCCATTTTCCCTCCATCACCAGTAGTATAGAGTTAAAATCTCGCTGAGAACATTTTTTGAATTTTAGATCGGCATTTTTTCAAATAGCCATATATTGGATGTTTGAGTAGTTCTGAAGAACATAAAATAAAATTAAAGAAATATTATTAAAAAAATTAACGATCTTTGGCATTTCCTCATGTAAAAACTCAAGATAATATTACGTATTACTTCAGAAATTGAACCAACTCTACTTTAAAATTAGTTTGCAAAAAAAAAAAAAACAACAAAAAACAAAAATCCAATTCTGATATGAAACGTTATAATGAGTAATTTATGATCCTTATGTTAGAAAATCATGTGAATAGATAACTTTCCAACCCTCTTTCGTAATCAATCATTAGCTCCACATTTGAACCGAACATTTTATTCCACTCAAGATGTTATGCTAGTCTAATCCCAAAATAGTGTGAAGAGGAAATAATCAAAAGATGTAATTGAAACAATAAATAAAATATATAATTCCAAAATAACCTCTGAGAAACAAATATGTATTTTCCATTTTAATTTTTAGTTTTTATTTCAGATAATTTGGATTTTCAATTACCTATCATTGCCTTAATCGAACATTTGTCTTTTCAAAATAAAATATCTTTCAGTTTCTTCTATAGGCCAGACGAAAAAAAGTCAGCCCATTATCGGATCTCTGAGTGTCTTTTCCAACATTATCCATCTGATTGACATCACTTGGACCCACCGAACGTGATGATCCCTAGGGCTATGACCGCAGTTATTTTTTTTCTTTTTTTTTTCCTGATGTTTGGGGCAAGGGGTGTTGCGCAACTAAGACCAAACCATAGATCGATCTTTGAGTAAATGCCAGTTCTTTTGATTAATCAAGTTGGGCAGAAAGGGTGACAGTAATAAGAAAGACGCTAGCAAGAAGCAGACGGCGTCCATGCTTTAAAGAAACACTAATTAGCGCCGTCTTTCCGAACTCTCTACGGGTCCCAGTTATCAAATGGTTTTTACCTTTCTCATTTTCTCCATACAGTTCATTTTTTATTTCCAATTATCTTCTTTCAAACATTTCCTTCCTTCCTTCCTTCCTTCCTTCCTTCCTTCCTTCCTTCCTTCCTTCCTTCCTTCCTTCCTTCCTTCCTTCCTTCCTTCCTTCCTTCCTTCCATCCCTCCCCTCCTCTTCCTTCCTTCCTTCCAAATTACTTTTTCTTCTTTGCTGGTCAAGTTCATTCATTCATTCACTCATTCAGTCTTTCTTTCTTTCTTTCGTTTCACGTTCTGAATGTTTCCAATATCTTTTCAGTTTTTTTTTCTCTTTCATTTTCTTCCTTAAATAAGGAATGGTCTTTTATTTCTAGCCCCTCTCACCTTCTTTTTCGCTCTTTACGTTTCCTTCTTTGTTTCTCTTGCTACACGTTACCTTTCTTTCACAATATTCTTCTTTCTTCCGAAACTTTCCCGATGTTTTTGCAGTATTTCATTATTCTTTATTCTCTGTTAGAATTATTGGCACGGTTTCTAAATTATAAATATTGTCTTTCTTTTGTTCTGTCACTTGTTCCATTTTTTGCTAAATGTTAAATTCCTCTTCTAACAAGATAACAATGTGTACCTTTAACTAAAAGAGTTTCACCGCTTTCTGCTTTACAAATTCTGGACGTTGTCTTTTCTTTTCTAACCTTCATTCTTATATCTTTATTCCGAACTAGAATTCCTTCCGGTTTTATTTTCTTTTCCTTTATTTTATCATTTTTTGTTTTATTCATTTTCTTTCAATTTTATTACAATATCTTTCTTTTTCATTCCTCCATTCATTCATAATAGCTGCCTTTTTTACGTTCTACTTTTCCTTCATTAACTGGTTTCTCTTTTTTTTTTACTAGTTTTTCATTATTTTCCTTCTTAACATCTGACCCTTTTCTTTCTTTTTTGTTTCTTTCTTTCACTGTCCAGCCATATGTTTGTCTGCATACGTCACAGACTATTTTGGCTCTTTTGTCTGTCTGAACACCTGTCAATATTTATATCTGCGTGCCTGCCTATATTTGTACTGTTATCCCTCATCTGTTTCCCGGCATTCTTCCCAACAACCACCCTCTAAATTCACATCAAAGCAATCCCCGCCCTATCTCGTCGTTTTCCCGAAACATCGATACTTGAACAGGAGGTTTGGATTTAGGGTCGATTGGAGATGTCGTGTAAATGCTAGGGTCAGATCGAAGATAAGTGGAGTCAATACGTTCTCCGTTTGGTGTCGATTTTTCAGATTCCCCGATAGCTTATGAAGCAATAAGGGTTTCGAATCTAGGAAACAGCTGAGAGAAAGAGAGAGAGAGAGAGAGAGAGAGAGAGAGAGAGAGAGAGAGACGCAAATAAAGTTCAGAAAGAGAGGGTGGGAAGGGAAATAAGAATCGAGAAAGAGACAAAAACACGTGGTATTTGTTAAGTAAAATACAAACGAATTGCTGTAGATCCGTGTTTAGCGAACTAATTTGATTAGCAACCAACATGAAGTTGACTCCTTTCAAGATCATTCAGAGATCTGGCCTAGTGTTATGTTCCACTTCGTGCGACAATTCTCAAAGACCCATATTTGGATAAGAGTTGGGTAAACTCAAGAAAATGTCAGACTTAGATGTTAGAGACTTAGATGAAAAGGTAGAAAAAAGTGGTTTGTAAAGAAGATATTTGTGTAAGAAAGTCACAATTTGGTATAAGGCTTTATTCGTAAAGCACCTAGTGTGGACCAAATAGAAAGTTAGGTATCATTCAAGAGGACGATTAAAAAAGAAACAAAGAAAGAGATGAAAGGGATGAAAGGAGAGATTTTAGAATTAAAGTTAAAAGAGAACAAGGAAAATAATTATATAACTTGAAAGAATTTCTTGGAAATTAAGATTTTCGTTTATCGTCAAATTATACTGAAAGTATCGGATTCACGCCAAAGTTAGGCAAAATAAGCATTGATCAGTATTTGCTTATTAACCGCCTGAGAACATTAAAGCTCCTTCTTAACCTTTAGGCTTGATATGATTATGCAATTTATACCGCGGCCATATATTAATGTTCTAGCCTAAATAAAAGATTTCTAATATTGATTTTCAAGACAGGTAGGTTTATTGCACCTTATTGTATTAAAGGGTCCAAGAGCCACTCAAAATAGAGGGCTACTCAAGGAGGTGTGTGCTATGAACGTAAAAAGGGGAAAGTAGGAAGTGAGAAGATTATGAGGCTATGGATGATAGATAATGGCTGACTCTAGACTTGAAGAGGCGTTAAGATTGTGACGTTTGAGAAAGAAATCACGACTTTTAGCTGAAACTAAACCATTTTGTCTTTGTTGTCACATTGTAGCTATGATCATAAGCTTCTTTCCAGCTATTTGAATTAAACTGAATTTCGATTTAAGCTTGCAGGCTTTGCCGAGTGTATTTGACATAGAGTTGTCCAAGCGCCTTTGGAAAACTCACAGTAGTGCGATTTCGAACAGGTAGCTTAATGACCAAACCCCTACATACATACTAACAAATTATTTACCCATATTCTTTATTTGAAACGGAGATAACTATAAGCGAAATCCTTTTCATTAAAAAAAAAAAAACAAAAATGAAGAAAAATAATAAAGAAAAAGAAAAAAGAAAAAGAGAGAAAAAAGAAAAGTGAACAAAGAAAATCTTATAAAAAGTGATAAATATATTTCTTGAAAAAAATTAGCTACAATAGTACCTCTCCTATCCGGCATATCCAGGATCTTCAAAACCCAGCGAAATGATTAGAAATGTATTTTTGATAACAATTAATTCAATTAATCTGTAATTTTGTATATAATAATAGCATAAGTTTTTAGATAAATTATTTTGATTGTCACCAATGAAACGTAATGGAGATAATTTCAATATTTGCAATTTTTTATGCAAATTGTTTTTAAAGTAAATGAAAAAAAATCGTACGAACAAGTTAATCACTTTTCATCATCGCAGAAAGAAAGGGTTCATTTTTTATTAATTTTATACACAAACTGATTCCCCCATTTTAGTTTCAAATCATTAAAATAGACGTCGAAAATCAAATGATAAACAGATCCCAGAATTCTATAGTAAAAATAGGGATGCTAATTACTGTACCCTGAATCAGTGCAACTGAATATTTTCATCCACGTGCCCTGTTAGTCGGGTTTTATAAACTGTTTATATCCATGATAACACGAGAGAGGAGTAAATTTGTAATAGGCACATATGTATATATAGTATTACTATAAGCATTATATTTAGTGTGTACACGTGTTTTGGTAGACATGTCTGTTGTTTTTTCTAAAAAACAAATTAAAATTAAAGTTTTGATTTCTACGCATGGGCGACCATGTCTCTCCACAACTTCATATCTTTGTAGCTCTCAGCATTGTTTGTCTTTTTACTATCCCGTCATTTCCTGTTCTGACATCCACTTACATTACAGTTCATTAGGTTGGTCACTTGGTTTCCTTCAATATGTCCCGGGAGTATCTAATTTTGTAACCCCTCTTTTTTCATCATGTGTTCAAGAAATCTCAACTCTAATTTTAAGCACGCGTCCTTTTTATTCTATTTTCCTTAAAATTTCTTCGTTACATGTTCTGTTTATAATATTTTCAGTATCTTTCCTTTTCTTCAATTCTCTTCATCTGTGAGAAAAGTTTCCAGCATATAGGATGATTGATTTCCCATTGCAGTCTAGCACTCTTTTATTTGTTTCTAACCATAATTTTCAGTTCCTTAATATTTTGCTTAGTTTTGGAAGGCATTTTTCGCTATCCCTATGCGTTAAAACATTTCCCAGATAGTTAAACTTCTGAACATGTTTGATTTTTACATCTCCAGTTTGTGGCCTCTTCTGCTTAGTGACAAACATAGTTTCTACTATATTGACAGTCATGTCATTTACTGCTTACTATCGCTATTTCTGTGCTCTGACTACCAAAGTCTTTTTGCAAGTCTTTGTTAGTAAGTTAATAGTAATAAATGTTTATCTTAATTCGCCTGTAGTAGAGCAATGAGTAATGTGCTAATTAAATAAGTCATTACTAGAAAGTTTGAGTTGCGCGAAGCGAACAATTAATCTGACCGGTGTAGGGGGAGCCTTAAAGGGTATGGTCAACAAGATAAGGTCTCACGGATATAGCACGTGATTTTCCGCCTCGCTGAGTCTCCCACTGTCGTAGCGCTTTGCAAGACTAAGCCCAGTGGATGACATTGCTGCGTATTCCTCCCCAGTGGTCGAGATCAGTGTTTTAGTCCAGCTGAAAAAAAAAAGGTTTTTATATACTCTTTCATAATCTTTTTTATAACCTCTTTCATACTTTATTTTAAAAGACTGCGTGCTTTTTTTGCTATTATGTTATTCTCTTATTGTAAATCATTCTGTCTACAGGGGTGGGCTGAAATGTTCATAGGCTGACAATGAATACATTATGCTAGTGCTGTGAAATTTTGCATGTATTAATTTCAACTCTTCTTATTGTTTATTATCAGGTAAACTAATATCTGATTGTTCAAGAAAGACTGTTCATTCTAGTGGTCAAAAAAGTCTTCAACAGCAGATATAACGTCATAATCAATGCGATACTGGTTCCCAGACAAGTGTTTTTTCATGTTGGGGAACAGAACAAATGATAGGCAAATCAGGAGAATACAGAGGATGATCAACCAGTTCAAATCACAGTCATCCCCAGTAGCCACTGGAACCAATGACTTATGTGCTGGAGTATTGTTCTGACGAACAAAGAAACTTTTTTTTCAGTATTCCTGGGCGTTTGGTTGTGATAGCCTTTCGTAACTGCCACAGTAATTTGGCATAGCTCTTTTCATTGATGGTGTGGCTCTATTGAAGATAGTTAATAAACACAATACCTTTTGCATCCCAAAAAAGGGAGGCCATCATATTCTCTGCAGATAAAACTACCTTGGCCTTCTTTGAAGAAGGTGAGAAGGTTTTTTCTATTACATGGATTGTCTCTTTGTCTTTGGTTCAAAGTGATGAATCCAACACTCATCTTCATGGGTTAGGAAACGTTCAAGGAAATCAGCTGGATCTGCCTCAAAAATGTGATTTTGCCATGATGGGATCAGCCAGTTGCGTTTTTGATCAGGTGTCAGTAGACGTGGCATCCGCCGAGTAGAAACCTCCGTCATACCAAGTTCATTATGAAGAATATTCACATCTCTCTCATGGGATATGCTAATAGAATTTTATTTATAGTCGGTCACTTGTCATCCATCACCATATGGTGAACACGGTTAATGTTTTCCTCAGTAGTTTTCCCCAGACTCTCCCTTCTCCTAAATTCACCTTCCCACATTTGTACTCTTGATAAAGCTGGAGCGTCATCCCCATGTTAGCGTGAATGTTCTTGGCAGATAAAAGATTTTCTGCAGATATTGCAGGTACTTGATAACACCACGATGCCAAATTTTGTCCATTTTCAAGAGAAGTCAGTATGAATTACATTTGAAGTCTTCTTTGAACAGTCAGATGTCAGTTTACCTGGAAAGAAACGATGCAGTTATTAATAAGAAGAGTTGAAATTAATGCATGCAAGGTTTCACAGCTAGAACATCACCTCTTCATAGTTAGCCTATGAACTTTTCAGCCCAGCTTCATATCTATCTTAAATCAGTGATTCTTATAGGAATATTAGATTAAAGTCGTGTGTCAACAGACTTATTCATTTGATAAAAAGAATCAAAGATATAAGTCTACACTCTTCTCAACAGAAGATTTTTACTAGGTACCATCAAAATGGATGCATTTGTTTTCTAAATGAAAGCAAAAAATTGTTACACGCTGTTTTAAAACTTTGCAAAATATCAGGGAATTATCCAATTTAAGCGAAATTTTCAGTACTTATTCATTAATGAAGAAATTGTATACTGAATGAGTTATTTCATCAGAAAACTTCGCGTAAATAATTTTACAGAGAATAATTATTTTTCTTTTAAATTACTTGTAATTTTTAGTGCGATTTTGAAATT